ACCCTGATTTTACAGTCTTGCACAGCACAATATTTTAGATATCACACACAAAATGTTAGATATCCCGTAGCGAATTTGAGATACCCTGTACAATTTTTTAGAAATGCCGTATGTATAACTGCACATAAATGTGGCTTTGAATACGGATAACATAGCCTTAATATGTGTATGCTAGAATTTTTGTGAATTTGGTCACAAAGCTAAACTAAGAAATCTGCAAACAGCTTCCGGGGCGAAAAACTAAAAAAAATCGTAGGAACTGTGGAGGATTACATATGCCGATTCGAGGTCGGTCGGTCAGGTCAGATTAAGTGCGACTTATAAAATCGGCCAAAATTGTAGTACCGGAATTCGTCGTCAAAAAAAGCATGTGCAAGGCCGATGTTTGCGGTGCAGGCCTTATTTGAAGTAGAAAACTGGACGACATGACTGGATCTGCCGCAATATCGCTTCAGGCACTAATTTAGCGTAGGGCCGAGAATTTGAAAAAATCGTCCTCCGGAAAAGTTTGAAAATCCATTGATCAGCCCATCAGTCCAGGAATAACACACTGCAACTGTTCCGATGAGATTTTGTTTTTTTCGTGTTGTACAAATCCTGTGAATGTTAGCGTTTGCTGTTCGCGACAGATCATATTTACTGTTTGCCATCACATCTACCACTGTTGTTGCTTTTCTTTGCTATAATCTGTCAGGGCAATGTTTTTTTTTGTGAATAAAATTTGTATTATTTTTGCCAATTTTTTCAAAGCTCAAATATCGAGTGTGTTTTATATGTACCTATGTGTAGACGTATTTATGGGTGTATACAAGTGTCTGTAAAGCACTGGTCTGTTCTGTGAGAATTCGCAAAGGGGAAAAAAAAACAAAGGTTTAATGTTTTATCAAAAAAAAAAAAAAAAAAACACTTCATTAATGGATGAATGCCCATGAAAGCCAGGTCCTCTCTGCAACAGAGAGGTATCTTAATAACTGATGCTGGGCATAATTCTCATTGGCAACAAAAGAAAAAATTAGGCGTGATAAAAAGCAGTAGTAGCAGCAATGAACGAGCACAACACGCTGCATTTAACCGTAAAACTAACAAACGATATTGAACATTAAAGTGGAAAAAGTATTATGTGCGAGAGGAAGAAGACTCAATCAAGATCTGGCTCAGGTGCTTTCTTCGGTGGCGGAGGCATATCTGTTGTCGTTGCGCCACCACCATCCGCCTTTTGCTGCTGCTGCTGCTCACCGCTGCCTCCCTAAAATACATTTAACTTTTTTTAAAAATATTAAAAAATAACAATCAAAGTACTCACCGCTCTTAAAATCTCTATATCGTTGGGTTTTTTTTTTAAAAATTATTTAAGACTTCCAGTTTTTTTGTTAATCTACAAAATTATTTCTGAAATCTTCAAATTCAAAATGCATTTAAGATTTTCAAACTTCCAGAATTTTACGAATTTTTTTAACGAGGTTCTGATTTTGTTTTCCTGACAAGTGCTTCATTTGTTCACCAACTGCAAAAAAGGGACTTTGTAAAAAAACCCTTCTGTTTTCCAGAAGAATGCTCTGCCTTGCTCATTTTTAACTTCAATTTTTTGAACAAATGATTTGTCATGAAATAACATCAGAAGTTTAAACCGTGAATTTTATTTTTATATAAAAACTACTGCGATAGAACTCTTGATTTTTGAATGGAACAAATTGTCCGATAGTTGGACAGCATGACTGTAACATAGCCGAGCAGTCCACGAATGTAGCAAAATGTGGAAAACAAAAATGAGGGAAATCCTCTCCTCTTGAGATGTGTCTTATCCTAACGGAAATCCCTCTTGTACCCCGTCCCTCTTTTCCTTCACACTCCTTTAGAAACCGTGAAATGATTGGGATGTCAGACTTCTGAACATTCAGAATTATTAGAAAAAGGAATCACAAAGTGGACCAACAGAAGGTTGAAATTTGCCTAATCAGTGTTAGCGACTGTCTGAAATTGTTCCAACGCTTTCAAATTAAGAAATCCTTGAAAACTGTTCAGGCGGGAATGATCCACGAATTTATTAAAGATTTACCTGAGCATTTCCTGTACCCATGCCGAAACCGCCTGCAGCGCTGCCAATTTTCGAAAACAGTTTCATAACTTTCGGGTTCGACAGGTGTTTCGAAATGTTGGCCGGATTCTG